CCCCAAAACCCCAAAACCCCGACATCTCAAATTGTGAAAATTTTGAAATATACTTTTTAATTAAACAAAATAAATTAATGTCTAATCAATAGAGAAGTTAACATATCAATGCTAATGAATGCATCAAATCGATTCTAACTCATTAACTCACCATTTTTATATTAAGGGTTCATTCCAAAGATTTAAAGCCCAATTCTTAAGGCTGAATCTACTATATAGTTTAATCCTAAATATCATCTGCCTTTTCATTTGATTATTAATCTTCCGGAAACAAATCTATTGATCTACCTTAGTATGAAGCTAGGTAACAATCTACTTCATCTTTAAATAATTTACTCATGATTTGTTGAGAAGATTAAGGATCCTCTTAATGTAATTGCTATTCATTGAACTTGGGTTCATTTGAGGCCTCGTATTCTAGGAATGTAAAACTCTTCTCTATTTAATCATCAAAGTACTAGACTTTGTTAATATTGCTTTACTAGAAATCTATACCACTAGATAATTTTAGAGTCATTGTATTTTCATCAATAAGTTAATTTGAATGCCTTTTTTAGAGATGCTTGGTCAGCTAGTAATGTCTGTAGTATGAATGAGAACAATATTCACAAGAATATGGTCTAGAAGTTTATGAGTCATTAATAAGTTTATAAAATTAAATAAATGGAAAAGGATTTGCCAGGAATGTAAGTTTACCTGCAATTGTGATCAATTTTGAAGAAACTTACTTTATTTTGAAGTGTCTCCTTTCATGATCTCTTAAATTACCAATCGTTGAAAAATCTTTATCACATTGCATGCATTTATACGGTTTTTACATGCTATGAATCCTTAAATGTACTTTTAGGTTTCCTTTTTCTGCAAAAATCTTTTGACATCCTTTGTAAGGGCATTAATTTAAGTCTTGAAAATTATGCACTGATCAAATATGCAGTTATAAACGACTAGCTCTCATAAATACCTTTTTACAGTTCTCATATTAGCATTTAAAATGATATGACTACTTTTAATGATCCTTTTCTTACTTATTCTAAGAGTATATTTAATCTATTTTTGGTAATTCTGTGTTTACTGAAATTAGCCCAAGTTAGAAGGAATCTTATTACATTTTAAGATAATAATTAATAATTAAATTAGAGATGAAATTTCATTAATTAAAGGAATTAAGATTAATACTTTTAATAAAATCACAATATTTACCTCGAATGATTTTTTATTAATCTTACAAATTACTAAAATCAATCTTTCAAACTTGATGGGGTTTTGGGGTTTTGGGGTTTTGGGG